CCGCTGCGCAGTGGCAGGGGCGCCTGCTCCAGCGCCGCGGCAAGGCCGTGGCCGACTTGTGCGGCCTGGCGGTGCAGGTCCCGGCGGCCTACTTGGATAGGATGCCCTCCGCCCTGTATGCCACCGAGCTCGCCCACCGCCGCTCGGTCCCCCTGGGCCGCCACGCGGTCTGCCGCTGCGCGCTCGCGCCTGCCGCGTCGCCGCGGCAGCTCGCGGCGCTGTCCGCGATGGCGCGCGCTCAGCTGGTGGCGGTCGCGCCGCTGCAGGGCTGCGAGCTCGTCGTCGTGCCCTACTTTGACAGCCGCGGGGCCGTGCGCGTCGTGGCCTTCCTGCGAATGCAGTCGGGGGAGTGACCAAGGCCCCTCCCCAGACCCGTGTAGCGACCCGGGTTGCTCCCCCCATGCGCGTGGCGCGCAGCCGAGCGTGCGGCCGCGCGGCCGCACGCGGAGGAGCGTCGCGCCGCACTGCCCGTCGAGGCCGCATGAAAGGGGCTCAACTTTGAGCTCTGGTGGCGAGACGTGCGCCTTGAGAGCCAGCGCTCTTGGCTCTGGGGCGTGGACAGCGATTGCCACCGCGTCGCAGGCGCAGCGCTCACAGGGGCGCGGGCGGCTGCTGCCGTCGCCTCGGCTTCAAGATGGTGCGCCCCCCTTTTTCCAGGGCTTGTGAAGCCCTGTTGCCGCTGTATTCGCATACCTTTACTACCAACCTTGGCTCTGGCGCTTATGGCTCGCCGGCCGCATACGCCGCTGGCTCGCGCCCAAATCGGCTGCTGTCGCCGCAGTGAGCTGCCGTCGCGCGTCCGGCACTGACGCAGCTTTGTTGACTGCGTTCCGTGTTGACAGTTGCCCCCGGGGTCGCCTCGCACCCTTTTGGCTCGCGACTCCGGGGCCGAGGTCGGCGCCCCCACCCGGCGCCGGCGCATGTGATTCAGAGCATTTGCAGTGCCCCCCCAGTTGGCCAGCGGCCCGCCTGCGTGCGGGCCCGGCTCGGCGCGTGACGGGCGGCTGGGTATCCGCCCGCTTTGGTGTGTTGTGGTTGCAGCAGCAGAGGCGCGCCTGTACGCAAGTCATTGTATACATCAACCGGCCGCGGGCCGCGGCGAGGCCTGGATCGGACTGGACTGGATTGGATTGGACCCGATTGGACTGGATTGAATTGGCGAGCCATACTGGACTGCTTGGCGAGCCGGACTGGACTGCGCGAGAGAGCGTGGGCCAGAGGCAGGACCGAGAGAGAGTTGCCGCCCGCTGCTGGTGCTGACGCCCCCGGCGCCGCCGCACTTGCACCGCACTTGTGCCACAAGCGACGCTTCTTCACACCCAATCTCACAGGGAGCGACGAAGCCGCCAGGCGATTGCCCGGCCGCACCCCACCCAACACCGCACCCTGCTCACGACCCACACTTTTGCTCGCCGCGCACAATCTCTTCTTTCCTTCGGCGCGCCCGGCCCAGGGGCGGGCGGGCGCGCGTGCCGGCGGGCGGGCGCCTGCGGCGCCTGCGTGCCTGAATGGGCGCCGTTCGGCTCGCCGGGGCGCCGGGCGCGCCGCGCTTTGCGGCGCGCCGACGCCGGCAGGGCCCACTCGCAGCCGCGCGGCCCCGGCGTGCAGTTGCTGTGCCCTCTTCTTTCGTCGCCGTGGCGCTCCGCATTCCCGGCGTCGCCCCCGCCGCTGCCGCGCAAACGCACAACGCTCTTACCGGGCATATCGGCCCCCCCTCTTGTCTTGTTCGCATCCCCTGCCGTCCATTGGTGCACTGCCGCGTCACTTGACGCACAGGCGCCCCTGTTATCGGCGCCACTCCCGCGGTTTCCGACGCACTCTGGGTTTGTTTTGCACCCCACGGCCGGCGCCAGCTTGCGCACGCTTGACGCTTATGCAACGATGCCCCGCGGGCCCCCGCGCCGCCCGCGCCGCCGCCGGGCGGGCGGCCGGGGCGGCTCGCAATCTGTGTTGGCCGCGGCCGCGCGGCCGTCGGGGCCGACGCCGGCCCCTCGACGATGGGCGACGCTCACATGGTTTTTAGATGTAGAGACTGGTGGCACCGATTGTTTCCGGGGCCGCGCGGCGCGCCGGCCGCGGGCCTCGCGGCGGGCG